GAGTCGGGGACTTAAAAGTGAATACAGTCCTGCAACTATGATCCCACGGCACTACTTGAAAACAAACAAGAGAGTTTTCAGTGTATCTTGACTAACAGGTGTCAGCAAAGCACCAAGAGAAACAAATTAACTGAGTGTCATCTCATTGTTATTTGTGACAACTTGCATCAGCAAACTGGCCACCATGTTTTCCTACAAAGCTGTCACTTCACATCAGAAAGAATTAATTGGCTTGCTACAATTATGAGAATCAAAGGATTGTTATGTCTTGGACTTTTTCTTTATTGATGAGAAATGAATGGTCCCTGGAAAGATGGGCTTCAATCACCGGAGAATTTTCTTTTCAGTTCCCATTGAGTCCAGGTTTGCCGGGGCTCTGTATGTCACACTTAGTGTCAAAGGCAGCCATTCTCATCTCCCCTTTGGAGTTCAGTTCTTTTGTCCACATTTGGTTTCACTGAAGCCAGGAGTCAAGTGGGCCTGACTGAACCCAAAGTGATTGTCAACAAACTGGTTACAAATGACAGCTTAATCAATAGCTCTTTTCATCACTTTGCTAAAGACCAAGAATAAACTAATGGAGCTGCATTTGAAGTGGGCTGGCTCTGGTTGGAATGGGGTGAGGCTAATTCTGGAACAGAAGTCTTCAGTACTGTTGCTGACATGTTGTCAGAGCCTATACCCTTCAGCCATTTCTGGGTCTCCCATGCAGTAAATGGAATTGGCTAAAGGCTGACAACTATGAAGCTTGGGTCCTCAGGAGGAGGCTGACATTGATCACCTACCTGGCATTTCCGGCTGAAGGTAAATGCAAAGGGCTCAACTTCACTTTTTGTACTGATGTGTTGAACTTAAGGATATTTGTTCAGTCTGCTCCTCCAACCGGATGTGGCAATACTGCAGGGCTTAGATCTGATCCATTGGTTGTGGGATCACTTAGCCCTGTCTATTACTTGCTGCTTATGCTGTTTGCTTGTAATTCCAATAGGTTGACAACTCAGTTTTGGGTATGTCTGATGCTGCTACCAGCATGCTGTCCTGTATTCTTCATTGAAACAAAGTTGATCCCCTAGATGGATGGTAATGGTAGATGGGGAATATACCGCGTCATGAAGTTACAGAGTGTGATGAGTACAAATCTGCTGCTGATGAGGGCCCATAGCACCCTGTGGATTCCCAATTTTGTGTTGTTTTATTTTATGAATTCTGTCTCATTAGGGTGCTGATAGTGCCAGACAACACCACAAAGGGTATCCGCAACTGAAGCTGGGATTTTGCCTCCTCTAGCGCTGCAAGATGGTCACTCCTGTCAATATTGTCTTGGATAGATGCACCTACAAACAAGCAGGTTGGGTAGGATGAGGCCAAGTAGGAATTTTCCCTTTGTTGATTCCCTCTCACCACCTATCACAGCCTCAGTCCAACAGTCTCAAATTGAACAGTCACATCCTGCAACCATCTCAGGATTCCAGAGATCCATCCTGGTGTGGCCAGCTGCTGCTGGAAGATTTGGGAACTTGTCTGGAAACTAAGGGGAGCATCCAAAGGCAGTCATTTGAAGTTACTACTCTGAATAACCGGGCATAAACCAATTGGAAACTGGGACAAATGGTGGATTGTTTGCTAATAAGGACTGTACGTCCTGTGGAGAACACGATGTGAGGGGAGTATAAAAGAGGAATGTTGCTTTCTGTAGATTAAAGTTGCCCATACAAATGGTGTTTAGCTAATGGCTTTATTTAGCCATTTATTACAATAAAAAAGTCTTAAAATATTAAATCTTGCTGTGTTGACCTTTTCAGTTATTAACTGAAGTTCAAATTCAAATATTTTTAAACTGATCAGTCTCCACAGATTGTAGATACAGGTGGACTGCAGTGGTTCAAGAAGGCAGCTCACCACCACCTTTTCAAGGGGCAACTAGGGAAGGGCAATAAATGCTGGACCCAGCCAGCGACAGCCACATTCCACAAATGAATGGGAAAAAAAAGGCTCTACAGCATTCTAGGATGTTCTAAGGGTGTGAAAGATATTGTATAAATGTAATTTATTTCTTTTTTCATAGTTCTTCAGATTTTCCTGGCGCACAAACCTTTCAAAAACCTCAGTGACTGTTCAGCTGGAGTATCATGGTCAGTGATAGCAGAACAGACTAAAATGTCTCAATCTTCCAAAAAACAAAAAGGAGTAACATTACCTGACTTTTTTTTAAACTTCCAGCACAAAAACTGAACAGCTCTACCATATCTTCTAGTGGCCAACTCACTGCAGACATTGGTATGTTCCAATAGCAGGTCATCTGCCTGCTCTCACAAGTAGTGAGAATTTTTAAAAAACTTGAAAACAAACATGAAAAAAATAAATAAACCTTATCCACTTGGAGCCAAGGAGTTTAAATAGAACCATGACATCATCCTAGTGTCTAGAATTTATTTTGTAAGTTCAACTTGGGAAAATAACTGTAAACTGTAAGTCAGTAAATATTATGGTGCAATTTTTTTAATAAAACATTTATGCAAGCAAGTGAAACAGTTTCTCTTTCCAAAATATATGTTTAATTGGAAAAGTTCAAGCATGAATCAATATTTGTCTATTTGGTGCACTTCTATATGTAACTGATATTAATACAGTTAATATCTAAAATACGCTCCACTTACAGATGCGTGCATTTGCTGTAATACTCAAAATATTCCATACCATCCAGAACAAACCTACCTGCTTGATCAGCACCCATCCCCAAATTAAACATTCACTCTCTTTCTCCAACACTCTGTGACAACAATGTGTACCATATACAAGATGCAGTACAGTAAGTCACCAAAACTCCCCCACTCACATTTTCTAAATTCATGACCACTGCCCATGTAGGAGATCAAGAGGTGGGAATACCACCACCCACTAGTTTCCTTCAAGACACAAACCATCTGAACATATCTTGTTATGCTAGCATTGTTGCTGGATTGTAGCTAGAACTCTCTGCGTAACAACACTACAGCTGTACGTATGCCACATGGACCGCAGCAACTTGGACAACTAATACTGGTCTTGCCAGCAGCACCCACATCCCCCCAACAAAAAAACATCAGAGAACAAAAAAGTAAATTGCATGTAAAGACAAAGTAAATAGCAAGCAGATCGATTACCGAAATATTGCTCCAATTCCTTTAGTTTCTCTTCATTTATATCAGTAGCAATAACCTTAGCACCCTCCTTTCCAAATGCCTTAAAATTTAAAAGAGAAAGCAGGAAAATCATTTTGACAGTTTTGTATGAATTATATATTATCTTATACTGTTCTAAATTCAAAAACACATAAAAAAATGAACCAGTATGATTTCTAAAGTAAGGTGCTAAAGTAAGGAGTTAAAGTAAGGAGTTCAATCAATATGTGGCCTGGATCTTATTTAATGGACATCATATGTCACTAATGTTTTACTTGAGAGGATAACTGTTTTTAAACAAAGTCCAAGTCCACATTTTTAGTGAGAGCTTACTTTCAGTTAGCCATGTCATATAACTTTCACCCCACTGATGTTAAGCTCCCTGTATTCACATGCAATTAACCCATTTTTAATCCCAGCAGCTCCAGAAACATGTCAGAACATCTTTGAACAGGTTGTTTAGAAGTTTTATACATCTATCCATCTATCTATCACCTGTAACCTTACTCCATTAGGTCTCAGACATCTTTTCAAACATTATTAGATGATAACTACCAACAATATATTACATTAATCACAATTTTAAAATGTGAAATCGACAAGAACTTCCAATACATGAGTAGACAAATGAGGAGCTACTAAAATTTTTGGATCTTTGAGCCTGATGTTTCATTCCGTGGGATCATGGCTGATCCAATTACTCCATATTGTATACATTAAAACGAAAAACTTACAATTGCACATGCTCGTCCAATGCCTTGTGCTGCTGCGGAGAGTACAATCACTTTTCCATCAAGTCGACCCATCTCCCTAGCTAAAAAAAACAAGAAATTATGCTCAACTGAAGATTTTTCTTTTTGTCAATAGAACAGCTGTACTTTTATACAATAGAGGTGATAGTGTTGAACTGCTTTTGAGCCACTGCAGTCTCATTAAAATTGGGAACGTTCTAAAGGTTGGAATTAATGCAGCATAGATATTTCTGAGGGTAATGGGGTTGGAGGAAATCACAGAGATAAGGAGGAGCAAGGCCAAGGAGAGATTTGAGAACAAACGAACATTTTAAAATTGAGACACTGTTTAACCAGGATTTAATGTAGGTCAGGAAGAATGATAAAAAGAACAAGATGGGTGTTCCAACTCTGCACAAATGCATTCAAAGACCCAATTTCACTTTTCCTTGCAAGTGTACACTATGCTGACAGTTTTCAGAGTGTTTCCAATATAACCGTTCTCCCGTGATTGCACAACTCAAATGTACAAGATGCAAGATATGGAAGATGAAAGCATGCACGAGGATGACAGTATCATGCACTGCACTGGTATCAAGGTGGGAGCTTTTTTTTTGTACAGTGCAATGTGAAACCAATGTACTTTCTTGGTTGAGCTTTTCTCAGTTCAGATCTTGCTGTCAATTCTACGCTTGCCCTGAAGCTACAGATTGGAATTTTTCAAGACATTCTGAAATACATTTTTAAAAGACTTGTGAAAACAAATGTTTTCAGTAAATTTATTTTCCAAGATAAGAATACAGTTTTGAACAAGAATGGGTGTACTGATGCCTGTGCATGAAGCTTTATACCAGGCAGGATTTTGTGAAAATGTGTATTAGTGATACTGTAGCTTTACTATCCAATTGGAAAGATATATTTTAGATCTGTAACTGTCATCCCATGCAGCAATCAGCAGGTTCTCAGACCTAAATAACGATGTTGAAGTCAGATGTCCAGAGGTGGCATATATGAGTCTGCACGGTCTGGACAAGACTCAGCTAGCAGTATTTATAAATATGGTGTTTGCTGTAGAACAGCCCAGCTTTCTATGATTTAGCTCTGGGAATGCTGATCAAGAAAACCCTGATATCTGTTATTCAACAAACTAAGGTATCATTACAGAAACCTCCTGCTACCATTACTGATAGAGAGCCAACAATGTTAGGATCAGAAATGGAATTAAATGGTTTGTATAAAGCTGATGACAACTTTCTGAAATTCAGGAAAATTGATTGCTTCATTCAGCTGTTCAGCTGCTCCAGGAACCGTAAAAAAAATTCCAGACTGAGATACTCGTTGATAGAAATCTCTTCTTCACTGAGTGCTTTGCTGGGGAAAACACTCTTACTTAAAATATAGCAAAAGCTCATCCATCAAAATATTAGTGGATGCAAATGATAGTCTCGACTCACATCCCTTTGGTTATTTTTGGATTTGGACATTCTAGCAGAAATTTGCTGCAGCTAAACACGTTCACTTCTGAACTGTAACAAAGGTGGAAATTATTATCACAAGTCAGATTGCTCCTTATAAATCAACTGTTGCAACAACATATAATCCTGCATTACTTAAATAATTATTAGACTTTCAATTACGGCATGAATGGTTTTACGAATGAGGATATATAGCCAAAAGATGACCACAGATGCAAAATCAGTGGCTGCCCAGACAGGAATACTAGAATGTCATGGCTGAAGGTGCCAAGGGCAATTCAAACAGCAATCCTTCAACAGGTAGAAAGTCAACACAAAACAAACTAAACTGTGATCTCCAATGGCTCCAGAGATACCATGAGGCTGACTAATACCCCGTATCTCCTACTTTCCACAAAATTCCATCTTTGTTTCAGTCACTTGTGGGACATGGATGTTACTGGCTGGCCAGCAATATTTGCCTGTCCTTAGCTGCCCTTGAGAAGGTGATGAGCTGCCTTCTTGAACTGCTGCTGTAGGTTGACCCACAATGCTATTAGGGAGGGAGTTCAGGGATTTTGACCCAGTGACAGTGAAGGAACTGCGATATATTTCCAAGTCAGGATGGTGAGTGGCTTGGGGGGGGAACTTGCAGGTGGTGGTGTTCCCATGCATCTGCTGCCCTTGTCCTTCTAGATGGATGTGATTGCACATTTGGAAGGTGCTATCTAGGGATCTTTGTTGAATTTCTGTAGTGCATCTCATAAACAGTATACAGTGATGGAGGGAATGAATGTTTGTGGATCCGCTGCCAATCAAGCGGGCTGCTTTGTCCTGGATGGTGCCAAGCTTCTTGAGTGTTGTTGGGGCTGCACTCATCCAGGCAGGTGGGGAGTATTCTATCACACTCCTAACTTGTGCCTTGCAGATGGTGAACTGGCTTTGGACAGTGAGGAGGTAAGTTACTCACCACAGAATTCCTTGCCTCTGACCTGCTCTTGTAGCCCTTGCATTTATGTTGCCAATCCAGTTCATTTTCTGATCAATGATAATCCTAAGGATGTTGATCGTGGGGGATTCAGTGGCGGTAACATCAATGAATGTCAAGGGGTGGCGGTTAGATTGTTTCTTGTTGGAGATGGTCATTGCCTGGCATTTGTGCAGTGCAAATGTTACTTGCCACTTGTCAGTCCAAGTCTGAATACTATATTGTCTGCACCTTGTTGCATTTGACCATGGACTGCTTCAGTATTTGAGGAGTTGCGAATGGTGCTGAATATTGTGCAATCATCAGTGAACATTTCCGCTTCTAATCTTATGATGGAGGAAAGGTCATTGATGAAGCAGCTGAAGATGGTTGGGCCCAGGAAACTACCCTGAGGAGCTCCTGCAGAGATGTCCTGGAGCTGAGATGATTAACTTCCAACAACCACAACCATCTTCCTATGTGTCAGGTATGACTCCAACCAGCGGAGAGTTTGCCCCCTGATTCCCATGGATTCCAGTTTTGTTAGGGCTCTTTGATGCTATACTCAGTCAAATACAGCCTTGATGTCAAGGGCTGTCACTCTCACCTCACCTCTGAAATTCAGCTCTTTTGTCCATGTTTGAACCAAGGCTGTCATGAGGTCAGGAACTGAGTGGTCTTGAAGGGACCCAAACTGGGCATCACTAAGCAGGTTATTGCTGATCAGGTGCTGCTTGATAGCACTGTCGATGGCACCTTCCATCACTTTACTGACGATCGAGAGTAGACTGATGGGGCAGCAATTGGCCGGGTTGGATTTGTCCTGCCTTTTGTACATAGGAAATACATGGGCAATTCTTCATATTGTCAGGTAGATAGAATCATAGAATCTTTATAGTATGAGAGCAGGCCATTCGGTCCATCATGTCCACACCACCCCTCCGAAGAGCATCCCACCCAGACACAGCCCCCTACCTATAACCCTGCATTTCCCATGGCTAATCCATCTAACCCGCACATCTTTGGACTGTGGGAGGAAACCGGAGCACCCAGAGGAAACCCATGCAGACACAGTAGAACGTGCAAACTCCACACAGATGGATGTTGTTTGTATGGTCTTCCAGAATGCTTTTTAAAATGTTCCACACAAGCCACTGTTGGTTTGGTGTAAGGCAGTGTTGTAACTGTAGTGGAAAAGCTGGCTAGGGGAGTGGCAGCACAAGCCTTCAGTACTACTGCTGCAATGTTGTCAGGGCCCATAGTCTTTGAAATATCTAGTGCCTCCAACCATTTCTTGATATCACGTGTAGTGAATTGGATTAGTTGAAGACTGACATCTGTGATGCTGAAGACCACTGGAGGAGGCTGAGATGGATTATCCACTCAGCACTTCTGGCTGAAGATTGCTGAGAATGCTTCAGCCTTACCTTTTGCATTGAGATGCTGGTCTCTTCCATCATTAAGGATGGGGATATTTGTGGAACCTCCTCCTCCAGTGAGCTGTTTAATTGTCCACCACCGTTCTGGCAGGACTGCAGGGCTTAGATCTGATCCGTTGGTTGTGGGATCATTTTGTTCTGTCTATTACTTGCTGCGTATGCTATTTGACATGCATGTAGTCCTGTTTGGTCGCTTCACCTGGTTGACACCTCATTTTTATGTATGCCTGGTGTTGCTCCTGGGATGTCTTCCTGCACTCTTTAGGTTGATCCCCTGGCTTGATGGTAATGGTTCAGAGGGGGATATGCCATGAGGTTACAGATTGTGCTGGAGTACAGTTCTGCTGCTGCTGCTGATGGCCCACACACATCATGGATGCCCAGAGTTTAGTTTCTAGATCTGTGTGAAATCTGTCTCATTTAGTACGGTGACAGTGCCACACAACATAATGGAGGTTATTCTCAATGTGAAGGTGGAACCTCATATCTACAAAGACTGTGCTGCGGTCACTCTTCCCAATACTGTCATGGACAGATGCATCTGCTGCCGGGAGATTGGTAAGGATGAGGTCAGGTATATTTTTCCCTCTTGTTGATTCCATCACCGTCTGCTGTAGACCCAGTCTAGCAGCTAGTCTTTTAGAACCTGACCAGCTCGATGATTAGTGCTGCTGAGGAGCCACTCTTGGTGGTGGACAAAGAAATCCCCCACCCAGAGTACATTTTGTGCCCTTTCCACCCTCAGTGCTTCCTCTAAGTGTTGCTCAACATGGACAAGTACAGACTGATCAGATGAGGAAGAACGGCACGTGATAATCAGCATGAGGTTTCCTTGCCAATGTTTAACCTGAAGCCATGAGACTTCGTAGAGTCCAGAGTCAATGTTGAAGACTCCAGTTGTATCAATCCTCAGAACATTAGTAGAGTTTCTGGATTAATAACTAGCAATAATACCACTAGGCCAATGCCTCCCCGTAGACTATAAGGCTGTTCTCTCATTAAAAAGAGATGACTGGTGATGGTTTTAATTCGAGGATCACAACATCTCAAGCAAGGGTACAGGTTGAGAAGGAAAGTCCAAAATGGTAACTTAAGACAGTGAAGGACTTGTTGGCATCACTGTACCTCGCCAACCAGCCATCTAGTCAACTGAGCTAACGGACTCCTACATCATATTATGTCCCAAACCACAGACATGTTTGTGTCTAACCCATTGAAGAATACACTAAAGAGGGGTTATAAACCATGGCAATCCCATGTGTATGAGAAAGAGTGAGACAGACAGTGTGAACTAGTGTGTTGCAAAGGGCTTGAAGACAGTCTTTTGACACTCCTGTGCTGCAGGTAAAACAAATTCCTTTGCTCACTGAGCACTGGAAGTCAGCTGCTGAAGCCACCATTATGAAAGAAATAGGACAAAAGCCCGTCAGCCAACTGCAGATCCAAGAATCTTAGATGCACAGCCAAGATTGTGGAAGGGATTGCTGCATTTTTTTAAAAAGCAGGTTGGTAACAGACATTGTACGTGCTGTTTATATTGCTGCTTGCTCAAGCAATGGTTGGAGGTTACTGCAGAAGGGCTGGCACCAGGGCTACTTACAGAATGAGATTCAGCCAGTAACAGTTAGCTGATTGGTTTGTGGTGTTGCGTTGAGTTGTTAATGACAAAGGCTTTCTGCCTGCCAATAACAATGTGATTGGCTCTCAGGCAGCCATACACCTTGAGGTTGTGAATGATATATTTGTGTCATAGGAGAACAATGTGCATTTTAAACATGCACCAGTTACCCTGAAACATGTTTTGCTGCCCGGTAGCAGAATACATTGAAAGTGGCCAAACAGGATCAGTAAAGCGTCCTGATGAAGGGTCCCAACCCAAAATGTCAACTTTCCTGTTCCTCTGATGCTGCCTGACCTGCTGTGTTCCTCCAGCTCCACACTGGATTGACACAGATTCACGGTGAATATCAACTATATGAATGTTTGGCCTCCATAGCAATGACTGTAGAATCACAAACTTCTTATAGCACAGAAGGAGGCCATTTGGCCCATCGTGCCTGCACCGATTCGTGACAAGCAGTTGTGGTTAAAATCTAACCTGGAGACTTTTATAGCTCAAGACCCCATTCGGACCATGACTCTATTTCGGGCTTTTTAATATTTATAAATATGCCTATGTGTCACTTTTGTCAAGTTAAAACAGTAACATTCATTTGTACAGCAGTAGTAGAAAACATCCTAAGCAGTAATCAGGACAAAATGTTCACCAAGCGAAAGGAGATTATTTTGAAAGGTGATCAAAAGTTTGGACAAAAAGATGTATTTTGATAAGGTGTTAAAGGATGAATTTAAAAGCATGGGGTCCTGATACTGCAAACTTGAAATGGTGAAGTGAATGGATAAGGCAAATGCAGCAAATGCCTAAAACAAACGAACTGTGGGTAAGGGGGTTTATAGGACTGGAGGGTGATAGGGTGGGGCAAGGCCATAATATGGATTTAAATAGAAGAAGTAGATCTGAAATATTAATTTGGTCTGTATAGAAGTTGCCAGATCTGACTACTTACAGCACTTTCTCTTTTCAATTCATGAATTCTTGTTCCTTTAGCAGAAACTAGGTTTGCTAGTCGTTGAGAATACAAGGCTCAACTAATTGAACAATTTAAAAATGATAAAATGATTGATGGAATTGATGCAGAGATGCCTCTGTTGGGGCAAATCAGAACAATACGGTATAATCTTAAATTTAGAGCAAAGCCGTTCATGCTTAAAGAAAAGAAACATTTCTTCACACACAAGGTAGTATAAATGTAAGAACTCTCTACTGCCAAAGGCTGGGGTCAATTGAAGCTTTTAAGACAAAGATCATGATTGGACTTCTGCTTGGTCAAGGCAACAGATATCAGTTAAAGATGGGTAAATGGCATTGAGGTACAAATCTAATGGACCACAAGGAAGGGAAGCATCATGGCAGGTTATTACCATACAAGCAAATCCTAAGTCTGAGAATAAAATAAGTTGCTCTTAAAAATCTTTCTCTTTGTCCAAGCTTTTGATCACTTTAGAAGTGTGTGACATGATGCGTTTTGACAGACTGGATGAGGAGAGGCAATATAAATTTAAGAGTACTATATTAAACAGGAACAGAAAGATGCAGGGGTGTACATATATCAATATTTGAATGTGGCAGAATATGGAGAGAATGCTTATCAAAGCAGATGGGATCTTGCTTTTCATCAATAGAGGCATCAAGTGGGGAGGTTATAAATAAATTATTATAAAGGTCTAGCTCAAATATAGAATAAAATCACAATGGTTAAAGTACAGAAAGAAGCTATTTTGACCTGCCACGTTTGTGTCAGCTCAGTGTAAGGGCAACTTCCACTCCCCCACCGTTTCCACAGACCTATTTTCTTCACAGATAATTATCTAATTCTCTTTTGATGCTTCGAATGACAATGCTTCCACCACACATTCAGGCAGCTCACTCCAGACCAGCTTTATGACAAGTATTTTTTCTCACCATTGTTTCTTTTGCCAATTATCACAATTCTGTACCATCTGGTTCTTAATCCTTCCACCAAAGGGAGCAGTGTCTCCCTATTTACTCTGTCCAGACCCATCATGATTCTGAACGTAACTCTCAAATCACCTTTTAAATTTCTCTTGCTGAAGGGAACAGTCCCAGCTTCTCCATTCTATCCAATAACTTAAAAATTCTCATCCCTGGAGCTGTTTGCATGAATATTTTTTCATCCTCAAATTCTTCCAGAACGGGACACAATAGTCCACGCTGTGCCCTTAGTCCCTGGATCACAGTGGTAGCTTGGTGCATCACCTCAAGTATTGCATCAGCTGCCTCCAACCCATTTCAGTCTTATTCTAATTCTTTAATGGAACATACCTCAGTGTATAACAACCCATTGCCACTTGAATTTTTGATTAGATTAATCATAAATAAAATTCAAATGTTCTTAACTTTATCTTAATCTTGAGTTGATTACTGAAAGCAACTAATTTTACAATAAACAGTTACACCACCCATATCCCTTTCTAAGTACAATGAGAAACAATTACCATCTCTAGATTTTCCACAAATCTGTTTTAATTAATGGCAAGATAGGAAAAATCCAAAAGATCTCACAACAGAAAGTGAAAGTTCAGCAGTTAATATGAAATCAACAAAAGTATGACAGATTGCCACATCCTTGGAATCCCCTCTTGGCTTAAGATGTGACTGAGCATATTTGTCACTGTCAGTGTCCCTAACAAAAAAAGGCAATAATATCTATATGTCGCCCATATTCTCCATATCAGTTTAACATTAACAGCCTAATTTTTGTTCCCAGATCAGAAGCACGGAGATGGGGCATTCCCCAGTCCTGCAATGTGATCCAGGAGAAACTTGCCTGAAAGGTTTTTTTTGTGTTGGGATGATGGGATTGCCAGTGACACCCTATAGTAAGAGTGGAGGGAGGCTGCCCCCTGTGGATATGGGCTCAGCTTAATGTCTGCCACCCTGCACCAGTACAATTTAATAAAAACCAAAACAACTCTCCAGCCTCACCCCTCCTACTATTCCACACAGTGCCCAAATCCCATCCATGCCACTTCATAACCTCCATTCTCCCTTATGCCCCTCTATGCCCAGAGCTCCTTATAACTCAATGCCATCCTAACCACCATGCTGGCATTTTATAGTCTCCATGCTAACCTGTGCCCTTGTATCCATTTCCCTGGTCCTTTCATAGCTCCTGTACTGAAACTAATACCAACTCATGCCAATCCATATCGGTAACCAACTACCATTTATACCCCTCCAACTGTAGCATAAATGCTGCCCCCTCTACAATTCACTTCAGCTCTGATGAAGAGTCATCTAGACGCGAAACGTTAGCTTGCTGTCTCTCCATGGATGCTGCCTGATCTACTGTGATCTTCAGCATTTGTTATTTTCAGTACAGATTCCAGCATCTGCAGTAATTTGTTCCTACCCTTTATACTCTCTCCTCCAGGCGTGTTTATCACCATCCACCACTGGCAAACCTCAGGACGTCCATATTGAAATAAAGTTATTCTGGTGATGAGGGTCACTATTTTAAATAAAGGGGTTTTCAAAACAAAAAAGATCATTTATTCAATAATCTCTTACAGAAACAAACATTAGCATTCTACATTGTTTGATTATCCCAATGGGTTTACGCACTCTTTAGGTAAATTCATGTGTAATTTTCACAATGTTAAAAGCCACTTGAATGCCAGCCGGGAGGTATCTGGCGGAGTTTCTGAATATCTGGGCCTTAAGTCTTGGGAAGAGACACGCACATAACCGTGTTAGAGATAGTAGGAACTGCCGGTGCTGGAGTCTGAGATAGCAAGGTATGGAGCTGGAGGAACACAGCAGGCCAGGCAGCATCAGAGGAGCCGGAAAGCTGACGTTTCGAGTCTGGACCCATAGAAGATGCTGCCTGGCCTGCTGTGCTCCTCCAGGTCCACACCTTATTATCACATAATCGTGTTGGCGTCCATAGTAATTCACTTGGCCAAAGCATACAGGACTAAATGCTGCACCCTGCTCGAGACACTCCCCAGACTTTGCAAACATCACCGTGGCGCTAGAAGAGTCGGTATTTTACTGTAATTTAAATATACTTAAGGGCAGTTATTCTTTTCAATTACACCCGAGGTTTCCAATGCAGTGAATAATTCTGCCACTCCTTACCGTACGCTCTGAGGGTAAGTCAATTTTCTAACTTTCTTTCCCCCAACGACTACGGTGCTAACGTGGAATTTGTACCGTGGGTTTTATGAGGAAGCAGATTTCTATAAACTACAGAGCCCACCAATCCTTGCGCCTACATCCGCTCTCAAACATTCTGCTCGCTTTATTTACGTTCATTACACTGACGTTAAAAATGGGATCTGTGCAGTCAAACGAGCTGCTTCCAGGAGAAAGCACAGGACCACGGAGCTGGACGGGACAAGTGCCTGTTCAATTCCTGGCTAAAAAGGCAGGCACCATTTACAAACTGCAAGCTCGTTATAGGAGATAGCAAGGACTGCACATGCTGGAAGTCAGAGTCGATAAAATGTGGACTTTCCGGCTCCTCTAATGCTGTCTGACCTACTGTGCTCGTCCACGTCCACATTTTATCAAGAACAAAAACAAAGTTACTGGAAAAGCTCAGCAGGTCTGGCAGCA